CCCTTTAGGCCAGCCTTTTAAGGTAGACCAGTGAGAAACCAGTGCCATATAGGTCTAAAACTATTGTTTTTATGAGAACAGCTATAATAACAGGAATCTGCAAGTCAGAATGCGTTTCCCTCTTCCTTATTTTTGTGTGAATTGAGGAGCCTATCTGAGACATTTCCTAAAGTTTGTTTGTTGGAATGGGCTTAAGCCACACTTGGATCATGCCCTTGGTAAAAGATCTTCCCTCTATATTTTAAGACTGTTCTTCATGCTCTCTACAATTTAGAATAGCTAAATTTTCCTGTTTCTGAATTCCAGAAACCAGCTATTGTCCATATTCAGAAGAGATATTCAGCAGGTTCTGACCAGTTCTTGAGAACCGGTAGCGGGAATTTTGAGTAGTTTGGAGAACCGGTAAATACCATCTCTGACTGGCCCCGCCCCCATCTATTCTCTGCCTCCTGCATCCCTTCTGATCGGGAAGAAATGGGGATTTTGTAGTAAACTTCCCCTGGAGTGGGGTGGGAATGGAGATTTTACAGTATCCTTTCCCTGGAGTGGGGTGGGAATGGAGATTTTACAGTATCCTTCCTCTCCACACTCACCAAGCCATGCCACGCCCACCAAACCACACCCACAGAACCGAAAGTAAAAAATGTTGAATCCCACTACTGTCCATAGTGATAGGATTTGATCTCAGTTTATTGGCCATTATCAAATCATTTATCACACTATCCTGACACTAGTTCAGGGTATATATGTAGCCTTTCCTAATTTAGATGTTAGGATGTAGAAGTGAATAACATCTGGATATTGGTGATCTCCTGGAACAATTTCACATTGTTAGATAGCAGTAGTGATAGAAGCAGAGTCATAAAATCCAACTTTCTAAGACTGTGCTCAAAAGAAGGAAGTAGAACCATTGAAACGCAATGTCTAACCCAATGTGCCCAATTTCCAGACAATCCAAAAGTATTCTATGGGTAACTGTATCAATGGCTATTGAGAAAGTGCATTCCTTTTCTTCTTGTTGAATATAACCTACTAGAGCAGGGGTCTCCAAACTTGGCAACTTTAAGCCTTGTGGACTTCAACCATGGCTAACTGTGGAATTCTGGGAGTTGAAGTCCACAAGTCTTAAAGTTGCCAAGTTTGAAGAGTCCTGGAGTAGAGTGACTATGACTTATTTTGCCTCCAAACCAGGTTTGACTCTAGACTGGAAAAAGGTTAAGATACCATAGCTGATGGACCCCAAGAATGTATGAAGTTGCACAGAAACCATCCTCTTAAGCACTTTGTCCCCAAAGGGAGTATTTGTAATGGGGCTTTGGGGGGGGGTTCTTCAGGATTGATTGATAACTGGCTCCTTTAACTCAGGAATACTCTGGCAAATCCAAGTTCTGGCGAAAATTCATTTATCAGTTCTTGAGCCATCAGTCAATTCTGGCTGGAATAGAAGATGGTAACAAAGTCAGCCAATGTATAGGCATTGCAACTGGGTCAGCCAATGGGAACTATTTGGTGAATCAGAGCCATGCCATACGGTTTGGAGCTTACTCATGTAGCTCTGAGTCTGTGCAAGAGAACTCATCTAGTCTGCTCTCTGAATTGGAATTGAAACCAATCTCTCCTCTGCCTGTGTTTTTTGCCTGTAACTCTCTACCATGCTGGAAGAATCAGCTATTGGTATTGTACATTTACTCCTGTGTTATTGTGCATTTAAAGAAGTTAAGGAATCCTGCTGAATCAGTTATCTGTGTGTGCTTTCTGGATGTGATTTCTGCAACAAACTCTGACAGAGGGTTCCAAGGAATGGGATGTTTAAAACATCAGCATCTTTTTTCCCCACTTATTTATTGAATGGTACAGATCGTGTCACCCTAGAAAAATTGGCAGGAAAAAAATCTTATTTTGAGTTATTTTTAAACCACGCACATCCCTGGGCTGCGATATGCAGAATATGATCTCAAGTCGTAATGACTAACAATCTCAGCATGTTTCTGGTGGTCAGCCGTTTGGAGTAGAACAGAATAGAAAACTGACTCCATGTGAAGACTAGGAAGACATTGACATAGGCTATGATAACAGATTCTTACAGGCTTAATTTTGCTTAATTGTGCTTTACCTCCCCTTCTTATTCTCCAGTGACTCAGAGAGCAGCCTGCCAGAGTTCCTTCTGAATGCTACCTTGTTTCCCAGAACTTAAGGCACATTTCAGAGCTTTTTGCTTATGTAACAGTTCTTGCTTATTTCTCTCCACTCAGATCACCGATTAAAGCGTTTAGCCACTCAATGATAAATTACAGAGCAATTACGATAATAAAGGATTCTAACAGCCAAACCTGTTTATATACTAAATACTTGTCAGTCATTCCTTGTTTGTATTCTTGAGGTGGAAATAAAAAAAAACTCTGAAAAGATTAATTTTAAAGAATACTTTGTAATCCAATCATATCTTAAAGTGAAATCTTTTCTCAGAAGCTCTTCATGTGGTATGAATAGAATAGAGCAGTGATGGCTAACCTTTTTGTAAACGTTTGCCAAAATTGTGTGTGCTCACCCCCCTGCGCATGTGCATGCCCACCCCTCACATGTGGGGGGGGAGGAGTTTTTGCTCTCCCCAGGCTTCAGGAAAGCATCCGGAGCCTGGGAAGGGTGAAAAACAGCACAACGGGCCAACCGGAAGTTTTGGTTGTCCCATTGGGCCTGTTTTTCACCCTCCCCAAACTCCAGAGGCTTTCCTGAAGCCTGGGAAGGGTGAAAAGGCCAAATATCATCTGGCCAGTGCGCGCATGCACACCAGAGCTGAGGGCTGCCATGCCAGAAAATATGGTTCTGTGTGACAACCACACATTTTCTTTTACACCAAGTTGTGAATTTAAGTTTTACATAACATAGTATCAGAGTCTGAGAAGCAAATAGGCAGTTTTTGTCCTTAATTTTATATTCATTCCTGAGTTTCAGCATGCTGTTTGAATATGTGATAGTACTATTACAATTGTGAGACAGTTTCAATCATTTTTTCCAACAAGTAAAATATAAATCAAGGGCAGACTTAGCAGTTCTAATAGTGGTAAATTAAAGTTGGAATAATTTCTTTCCTGTGTTGATAATAAAATTCTGCTTCATGCCTTATTTACTATTCAGATTTCTTTGGACATATTGATAATTCCAGAGTTATGGTTTATTACTGTATTCTCGGTGTATAAGATGCACTCCCCCCCCCAAAGTGGGTGGAAATGTCTGTGTCTCTTATAAAGCAAATGTTGCCCATCCATCCACCCGCCCCCATCCTTTGGCCTCTGCCTCCCAGCAATTTGCCTCCTTGTAGCAAATGGCAAGCAGCATGGTCAGCTTCAGCACAGCCTAATTTAGCATGAGCAGCTGATTGGCGGTTGGATCTGCCTCCCGGAATACCATCTATCAGCTGTTCCAGGCTGAAGGGATCACCGCCACCACGTATTGCCGCCTACCCATGCCCCATTTTCAGCCTCCGGGCATCTATTTTTGGCTTCTACGCACCCCATTTTCAGCCCACTCCAGGTGGCAGGGATAGGCAGCAGCGATCCCTGCCACCTGGAACAGCCCCAAAACAGAGGCTGAGGTTGAAAATGGGGCGTGGAGGCTGAAAATGGGGTGCATGGGTGTGGCGATAGTTGGCAGTCGCAATCCCTGCAGCTTGGAACAGCTGATAGGGGGATTCTGGGAGGCAGATCCAACCATCAATCAGCTGCCCTTGCTAAACCAGGCTGTGCTGAAGCTGACTGTGCTGCTTGCTGTTTGCTTCAAGGAGGCAAATTGCTGGGAGTTAGAGGCAGATTTCTTTTTTCTTGTTTTCCTCCCCAAAAGTTAGGTGCATCTTATAGTCTGGAGCATCTTATAATCTGAAAAATATGGTAAGTGAGGAATGTCTGACAATTGTTGTGTGAATCAAGACATAATATGCGTTGCTTTTTAATTTTCGTAGGGTTTTTCTTAAAGGAAGAATACCTAATCATATGATAGTGTACACTAGCAGAGTCAAATCAGAGGTGGCATTCAGCCGTCTCTCTCCGGTTCAGGCGAATTGATAGCGGCGGCTGCAGGAGGTTACGCCTGCCCACCCTGATGTAATGTGCGAGCACTGCACATGCACAGGTGGTGGTGTGCATGGGCAGACATGGTGCATGTGCTCACATTTGCGAACCGGTAGGTAAGTGAATCCCACTGCTGAGCCAAATTGTGCTCAGAAACAATTTCAATGAAGTCATCAGCACCCAAAGTGAAAGAAAAGGTGAGGCTTACACATTTGTTGTAAACCAAATCACTGGTTCTGGAGACCATCTCAAAAGGGCAAGCAAAGAAATGAGTGTTGTGAGACCATGATGGAAGCCTTGCCCTTTAGTATATGTATTGTGACATCATATCAGTGGTGGGTTCCTACTGGTTTGGACCTGTTCAGTCAAATCGGTAGCGGTTTGGCGGCCTGGGTCGCTAGAACTGGCAGCGACCCAGGCCTGCCACGCCCCTGAACCGGTTTTCCGTGTGGCGATATAGGCGCCACCATCTTGTTTTTAGCTTCTGCACAGAACAATTTTTATTGCACTGTGCATGTAGCGAACTGGCCAGAACCCACGCTTGCATCAGATACATGTACTGTATGGGAGAGATGAAGTTTCCATCAACTTTCACAATTCTTTCTTCATCATTTTGACAAAATGGTTGGATTTTACATATGCCTCTAAGTCAGTGTTTCTCCATCTTAGCAATTTCAAGAGATGTGAACTTCAGTCCCAACTTCTGGATGGGGAATTCTGAGAGTTGAAGTCCACACCTCTTAAAGTTGCTAAGATTGAAAAAGGCTGCTCTAATTGTTTGATAGGGTTATTTTTCTAAATGGATTGCAAAGGGAAAACAGCCTTTTTCCAACCTAGAACACTCCAGAAGTGCCAGAAGCACATTTTCCAGAATTCTCAAGCAGTAGAAGAGTCACATTTCCAACACATCTGGAGAATAGGTAGAGTTTTTATTATGCTTGTCTCTGACAACACATTTGGAGTCTGAAGTCCTATTGTGGAAGTTCTGTATCCCTTCTGGCTCTTAATTCTCAAGGAAATGCTCACCAAGAAAAAGAACAGCAGAAACCTCAGAAGTTTTGAATTTCTGCATCATTAATAGCAGTCATTCTTCCTTTCTTTCTATTATGGTCTTGAAGGAGAAGGGCGAAAAAACAGAGCCAGAGCCAGAATAGAATTTGTTCTGGAATTCCACCCTAATAGGAAAAAGAGGAAATCGTTTATTTAAATATCGTTTAAATTTACTTTTATTGTTTTTATCCCATTTTTCTCTGAAAATTAAAAAAAAGCAGTTTGCAAAAAAAAGAAAAAGGGAAAGAGTAGAATAAAAATAAATTAAGGTATCCTTCAATGGAACAAACTTTGAAGTGCAGAAGAAATTTAAAAAGCTAGCATATCCAACTACTCCATTGCTACTGGGACCACTTAAGAAAGGCACCTTGAGTGGCGTTATTGTTGTGGGATTGTTTCAGGCAGGGGTGGGCTTCAAAAATTTCAGCAATGGGTTCTCTGCCCCATTGCTGGGTGGGCGTGGCCTAGTCAGCCTCCTGCACCACAGCAGAGCGGCTGTTTTCGCTTTCCCAAGGCGCTTTCTCGAGCCTCTGAGAGGGCGAAAACCTCCTCCCCTGGGCTCTAGAGGCACTCACGAGACTTCCAGTGGGCTCGTTTTTCCCCCTTCCTGAGCCTCCATGTGGGCCTTGCACTTGTATCCAAAATGGGTCATGTGGCGACTCCTGGAGAGGTGGGGTGGACGGGACCAGCAAGGGGTGGGGTTTGGAGGTTCTCCAAACCGGCCATAACGTTAGCTATAGGTTCTCCCAAACTCGGGCAAACCTGTAGCAGCCCACCCCTGGTTTCAGGCTAGTTTTTGCCCCAACTTTGCACCTACCAAATATGTTAAACTATAACTCTCATCATACTCACTCAATATGATTCCAGTCTAAGGACCTATCAATATTTCTAAGCAATTGCCCATAATATCATGCATATTTAAATGCACATTTCAACTATTATTTGAGCGGTATACTGCAAACATTACAGGAAATGCATGCAACTTCCTGTAACTGTGGTTTGGGTTTTTTTGGGGGGCTGGCTCAGAAGGAAACAGCTGTGCCTTACAGTTCTTATAAAACCACACTTACCAGTGAAGCCTGAGCGCATGCAGAAAGGCAGAAAGACCTTCCATGATGAGTAGAATTGCTATTGTGAGAGCAGCAAATATGGCAAAGAGGACAAAAATCCCAATTAGTCCTATCCAGCCGGTCATTTTAAATCCTATTGAAAACAGCAACTGCCAAAGAACCTCCGAGAGCTCTGAAGAAAAAGGACACACAAGAGAGAAAATGCAAGAGGGAAACACACTTATATGTCCCATGCATCCCAGCTGTTCTGACCTAGGCTTCCCCAAAAGGCAAAAGGCAGAGTCCTGGTCCCGACAAAACTCCTTTTATTAAACGAATGTGAATTCCTCTCATTCCTATTCAGCAAGGCCTGGCAAACAGTCTTTCAAAGGAATATTTATGACTACAGACCTTATCTATCTTGGAAAGCTGCCATGTAAATATTTTTAAAATGAGGTGCTGTGCAAAGAAAGACTGGGCACAGAGTCTCTGAGATTCACGGACAGATCTTCTCACTCCTGAAATAAATCTAACAACCGCCCGAACAAAGCCCACTCCCCTTTTTCTCCTCTTTTATTTCCTATGGGAGGGGC